ACTATATGTTTTCTTCTTTATATTAATAAAGAAGAAAACATATAGTCGCGAAGACTAAAATGCTTATATCTCGCGATCCACTAGACTGATTTTAACGTTTCAATCGTCATTCTGATCGCAAGACACTCCTCTACAACTTTACTTAGGCGTTAAAAAGAGGTTTACTTAGTAAAGAAAAAACTTTTTCTTTGGGAAACTCCAGATTCCAAAAAAGACAAAATTTACATAGTAAACATATCCCCAAAGTTTACTATGGTTTTTCACTGGTTCACTGGCGGATTACGAATTAAAGTTGCAACTTCAGATAAATTATAACTTCAGATATAATATATATATTTTTTTGCAAAAATTGTAGTTGTATATATAATTGTACAAGTAAAAAAATTTTTTACTTGCATAGTTGTAAGTAATATTAGTTCTGAGTTTTAAACACTGCCTGTAATTTAGGGCCTTTTTTAGTCAAAAAAGAAATGATTTACAATATTATCCAATTAAAATAGGGTTCCATTAATTTTGAAATTCTTAAATAAATAATTCTTTGGGAGTAAGTATAATAGTATAATGATCAATTATATTAAACATAAAATATCATTTGTTTGCAATAGTTCTATTGAAATAATCATTCTATTCACATTAATTTAGTCTTTAAATATAAAGAACATTTATTAATCTAGATACGTATTTAAAAAAAAGCTATATATTTAGTTTATAATATTTACCATTTAAGTCCATTTGCTTCACGTTATTATTAATACAATTATTTTAAAATAAGCTATTCAAGTTCATAAATATTTACAGTCAGACCTCTCTAGATACACCCACACTTTAACAACATGTATTTAGAGAATAATAAGAAAAAGTGCATTTATATATTCAAGTATATATTTGGGCAAGAATCTAAGCGTGCATTTAGAGAGGGTGTGCACTTATAGATGGTGCACTTAGAGAGGGTGTGCACTTATAGAGGGTGCACTTAGAGAGTCTGACAGTACTATTTAATTCATTTAATTCATTGCAGTTAAATATGTATATACTTAAAATAAGCTATTCAAGTTCATGAATATCATTTTATTCGTGTTCATTTAATCGGTAAATATAAAGAACATTTATTAATCTAAGCATTTAAAATAAATTATTCGTGAATACGTACAGTATTTAGGTAGCAAATATAAAGAATATTTATTAAACTAAATGTTTACATCAGCTATTCATGTTAATGAATATTTATTTGTGCTAACTTAGTCGAATTATCTATTAAAAATGAATTCTGCCATATTAGCAAGTAAATCTTCGATTCCATTGAAATTCCTGTTAGGTAGGTACTAGGGATATTATATTATATTTATTAAAAACATATTGCAACCGTTGGATCTTTTAAAGTTTTCTGGCAACACCTTTATTATAGTGTCCGTCCGTTTTGATGCTTTTGCTTGATTGTCAGCAATTGTCACCTACAATTTAATACCAGATACTGGCCTGTACGTACGTACGTAACTAAATACATCGTAAAAGTAACTTACAAAATGGTTATCAAGTATTTATTATAGAAAATAACATGGATCATGCTAGCGCTAGCTTCCTAAATTACAGTATTACTCAATATGGCTATTTTATTTCTATATAACTTGATTCAAAAAAAAAAAAACCAACAAATATATTATTTGAACTAAGTTATAATGTATGGTATTAAATATATTTAAGATATGTGGTAGGGAAATGATAAAGTAGTTTTCTTTTTTTTTTTTTTGTTAAATTAGAATAGAATTTTAAACACCAAAAACAGACCTGACTACAGCTCTGGTTGCAATTTTCACCGCAGTTTCCGCTGCAGTTTTCGCTGCAGTCTTTGCAAGTGAAGTGGCTACATTCTTTACTTCGTCATTACGACGATTAGGCGAATCGATGTCTTGCTGTGAAGATCGAGTGTTCTGTTGAAAATTTTTGTTTTCAAGACTGTACTGATTTGGTGTTGTTGCAGAAAAAGAGTAAGCGTCCGAATAAGCAGCTCCTGATTGAATAGGTTGACTTGGTACTGTGTATATTGGGTTGATTACACTGTTATCGTTAAGGTAAATTATTGATACTGAATTTGTTTGATTAGGATAAGCGTAAGTGTCCGAATAAGCAACTTCTGATTGAACGGGTTGGTTTGGTGCTGTGTATGTTGAGTTGATCATACTGTTATTACTTGATTGAACGGGTTGGTTTGGTGCTGTGTACGTCGAGTTGATCATACTGTTATTACTAGGGTAAGCCATTGATTCTTGATAAGCAGCTTTTGACTGAATGGGTTGCTTTTGCGCTGTATACGTTGAGTTGATCATACTGTTATCATTAGAGTAAGCCATTGATTCTTGATAAGTAACTTTTGATTGAATGGGTTGCTTTGGTGCTGTGTACATTGAGTTGATCATACTGTTATCAGGTGGTGGTGGAATACTTGGTGGTGGAATACTATTCAAAAGCTTTCCTTTGCATAATGAGCCGCACCAATCTACTCTTTGGCCACTTTCCAGCATTTTCGGATAAATTTGACATATCGTGCACGCTTCTACGTAGTTATAATCTACCGCATTTTTACGACAGCTTCGTGAACAGTATTCTGATGGTTGGTTCGTCCTTTTATCTACGTAAACTTGTCTAGAACATACTAAACACTTACCACTATTGTACATATTTTCACAGTTTGAGTGTGTGAAATACGTACTTACGTACGTACCAACATACTTAAAACATTGTATTTATATACACTTTGTTTTTAGGTAAACCGGTTTGACTACGCACAATAACAAAACATTCTTTCTTGGTCGTGTATCGTGTTACATTTACATTAACGTGATTCGTGCCATTAAATTGAAATAACGAAATGATTGATCACTGCATTGATTATCATGCAGTCATTACGTAAATATACAAAATTCGTGCAACTAATGACAATAAAAAGTGAAAATTCTGGTTGCAAGACTATAAAAGGGGTGATCATATTAAAACAACCTTTATATAGGCGCCTTCATGATTTATATCTGTGGATTTGATACCTATAATCGAATATTATACATTAATATATTTTAACTTATCAACTGGAGATAATTTCGTTTGCTTGCAAAATTTGCATGTTTTAAATCCGTTTAACTTGAAACAAATTAAATATAGTCATTAACTTATATGACATAAAGACCATATCGTACACACATTGAGTACACAATGTTAAAAAAAAATTTCTGAACCATAATACAGTAGACTCCGCCAATAGTCACATGTTAAAATCAGGAATTCTATGCTCCTATAGCATATATTGTGTATAAAATAGCAGAGGTCTTTTTCAATTTCTAACAGCTGCACTACCTTGTTTAGTGCGTCGAAAGTGCATTGGGGTGTGTCGAATGTAACCCAGGTTCACATAATGAGAGCTTCCTACATTGCGAATTCAAAGTAAAATTTCCAATTAAACATAATTGGAAATTTTACTTTGTATTCACAATGCAGGAAGAAGCACTCCTTGATTATACTCGACAAATCCCAATGCACTAAACATGGTAGGGCAACTGTTAAAAACCGAAAAAGATTACAATCAAGGCTGTGGCGAGATTGTGACAAATGCGGGTGGGAGTCTTGTATCACGAATCAAACGACTAAATCTATGGATGCGAATTGCACATCAATTTTTTAAATTGACCAATAAAATTGAGATGGCTAAAGCAAGGCGCGTCAGAATTACTTTTTTTGATGCAGTTTTTGTTACTTTTTTGACGCAGCAATGGTTAATAGTTTATATAAATATCAAGAATATAAGTTATGCTGCATGTAGATCATTTCGAAGTTTATACTAAACGCACCCGAGATGTGAAAAATGGTCAATTATGCGCATCGCATCGCATAATCCTAGACACTCTACGTAGTCGTAATATTTTCTCGTTTTTTAATTGGGATTTAATCACATGGTTATAATAAACAAGCTTTGTAATTATATCTAAAAAATATTTTTTACTATGCCACGATTTTGAATCGACACATACATCAAATTAGCCCATATGCCTTAACAATTTTAGAAAGACGGTGATCTGTAAACAATCACAAATAATTCCAATAATAGAAAGTGTGGGGAGAAAGTTAGTAAATACCTCAAAATAGTGACAAACATTCTGTAAGTGGTCAGTATTTGTCACAATGTTAGACCTTATGATCTTAGATACAATTATCAACATGGAATAGGGGTTAAATAAAGACGAACATAAGGCATTCATTCATTATTAAAAATCTGCCAAGATGAGAAATACTACTGCAATAAACCAAATTGGATATTGCTATCGAAATGAAATAGGAGTTGAAAAGGATGAGCAGAAGGCATTCATTTATTATCAAAAATCTGCTAAGATGGGAAATGCTGATGGAATATATAATCTTGCAGACTGTTATTTTGATGGAATAGGAGTTAAAAAAGATGAACATAAGATAAGGCATTCATTCATTTTCAAAATCTGCCGAGATGAGAAATGCTAATGCAATAAAAGATCTGTTATCGATATGGAATAGGGATTGAAAAGGATGAACATAGAGCGTCCATTCATTATCAAGAATTTGCCGAGATAGAAAATGCTAGTACAATGAATCGTCTTGGGTATTGTTATAAATATTGAATAAGAGTTGAAAAGGATGAATATAAGGCATTCATTCATTATCAAAAATCTGCTGAGATGGAAAATTCTAATAGATTACAGCTTGTTATAAAAATGGAATAGGTGCTGAAAAGGATAAAATATAAAGCATTAATTTATTATCAAAAATCTGCTGATATGGAAAATGCAACTGCAATAAATGAAATTGGAACTTGTTATTTTCGTGGAATAGGGGTCGAAAAGAATAAATATAAGGTATTTATTCATTATCAAAAATCTGCTAAGATGTGAAATGCGTTTGCTATCAGTAGGGAATAGGTGTTGAAAGGGATGACTATAAGGTATTCATGTATTCTCAAAAATCTGCAGATATGGGAGTTACTCGTGAAGTATTTGGTTTGAGATATTGCTATCAAATTGGATTAGGATTGAAAAGGATAAACATAAAACATTTATTAATTTTCAAAGATTTGCAATAAGTCTAATTGGACGCTGCTATCTGAATAGAATTGAAATTGAAAAGGATAATTATAGAGCGTTTCTTTATTTTCAAAATCTGCCAAGATGAGAAATACTTTTGGATGTCTCCGCTTGGCTATTGTTATCGAATGAAATTGAAATTTACAGATGGCTCATAATTATAATCTTTTAATATACATTTTCTAATACTGATTAGGGAAAAAATAAGATGTTGGATAATTTAAAAATTATTTCATATACTTTTAAATTTGCTTGTTAATATTTTTTTTGCCATAGATGAATCGATAAATAAAATTCTAACATTGACGATGATTTTGAAACAATAGTAGTTGAAGAACAATATTCATTATAATGGGTTTCATAAATTCACAGTTCTTAGTAAAATCGGACAATGTGGATTTGCGACAATATTTCATGCTAGATGGTTATATAAAAAACAAAATTCATGGAGGAAAGTTGCACTCAAATTACTCTACGGATCAAAATCACAAAACGAAAAGTTTATAAAAAAGGTAATTTTTACTTTAATAATCATTACTCTTTATAATAATTTATACATATTAAGTTGTCTTAGATTGTGCAAAAATGGGTTCATTGCGTCAAATATTCATTTCATAGCGCAAATTAAATGGAAAAAAAGGTAATATTATTGCAGCGTATTGCTTCTGACCTTCAAATAATTCATTCTCAAGAACCTATCTATCGAGATCTGCATAGCGGTAATGTTCTACAATATTAGCGAATATAGCATTAAATGCAGAAAGACGTGGAATTGTTGGAATTTTACCGTATATAACACCAGAAAATTTAGATAGAGGTCATTATTCAACAACATCAGATATTTATTCATTCAGTATAATTATGTGGGGAATTTGGACCACAACTTCAAATTGAAATATGCCATAACGATTTACGGCCAACAATTATTGAAAATACACCACAACAATGTTATATTGTATTTGCGCGTAATAACGCCCTTCTGCGCATTATTTTGAAGCGCACATGCGCTTTATTTCGATAAATTCTTTTTCAAAATTTTATATAGTCAACCCTCCGTAAATACACTCACCTTGGGATTATAGGAAAATTTTTTTAAAAATATGCATTTAAAGAGGGTGCGCATTTATGGAGAATATTTTATTAAATACACTATATGTTTTGGCTGAAGATTAGTGTGCATTTAAAGAGGGTATACATAGTGCATGCATTTGTGGAGGGTGCATTTATAGAGGGTTTGACTGTATTTAATAAACCACATGGGTAATGTTATAATAACTAAACTGAAACTATTATAAAACGCATTAAGCTACATCAAAGATGGGTGGGTGCGCGTTATTTCGGGACGCGCATGGGCGATATTTTGTATGATTTAGCTAATTTCAAATTAACGCCCGTCCCGCTATTACGCGTAAACACGGTATAAATCTGATGAAGAAATGCTGGGAACGAGACCAAATAAACCGTCCATCAGCAACAAAAATCTGTGAAATCCTTATAGAATGGCATAATGATGAAAATATTTTATTAGAACTAAATCGGATAAATTAATAATATTCAACCACATTCTGACGATATTTATAAAAGTAAATTTATTGATTATACTACATCATTTTTCAAGACAACTATATTTATTATTTTAAAATAAATTTAAATAAAAGTAGAAGAAACGACTATAAAGAACGGTTTTTACAGAGGTCAAGGACTTGTGTGTTCTCCGAACTTCTCTATATATTTAACATCAAGTTAAAAGTGTTCCTGTACAAGATAACTGGCAAGAGGTGGTGCCCTTGTATAAAAAATTTTAATAGAAGCTCTGTTTTTGCTAACAAAGTTAAAGATAGTTGGTTTAAGGAGGACAGCAAATGAGTTTTCAACACTTTTCTTACTGAAGTTTAAGGTTATCTGCAAACTAAAACCCTCTTTCATACCTTACTCTTGGCCTTTATGAAATTTTTCTAAAAAATAGGAAAAATGGTGTACTCCTATCAAAAGATCAACAACAACAATTGTTACTAAAAAAGAAAAAACATATACACATATACATGTTCATTTTGGGATGAATAGTATAAGATAATGTGATAACATTTTTTTTTTTTTTTTTTTTTTTTTTAAAGAGAGGTCTATCCTCTATCTCTTTTATTTAATAGTTTAAATATACATATATGATATAC